ATAGATGTCTTCGTTTTAGCTCTGGTATCTTGTTCTGTACTTTGATTATCTTGCATTTTTGGGCTTCGAAACCACCTTTTGAAATATTTTTCCAAGGCACCTTTACTCCCTTGTACGTGAGCCAGGAGCTTTCCAGCTCGCAGATTCACCACAGGGCATGAGGCCTGTGGTCCTCAGTCAGCTTGAAGCAAAGTACAACTAGGGGTCAAGTGTATCTGTCACAGATACCTGAAGCAAAAGTTTATTAAGACAAAAACCCCAAGCAACAGAACCATACTGCAGTGTGGCGCATAATACTCCTAATGCTTTTTAGCAGACGTCGTCTCTTCCCTGCAGTGCCAATGCTGGGCTTTGGCTGGGATTTTGGAGCTGCTCTCTGGATTCTTCTCTAAGGGGGAGACAATCTCTCTGCCAGGGGAGTAGTGGCTGGCCGTGTCTGCGTTAACTGCATGTGCAGTGCAGTAGTAGCAGGCCAGGAGATCAGATTTCAGTTTTACGTGCTTTCTCTACTTAATGTTCTTTGAATTTGAGTTAGCCTCCTCCCTGGACTGACTGTCCTCCCTCTGTGTGTGCTGCTCTGAAGGAAAGCTGTCCCACTAACCTCTGCTCTTTGGACTGTTGTTTCAGGAGATGTCAAATTGTCCTCTTCCCTGTTTAGCAGGGATGATGCTAGCATGTCACTGCCCCGTCAGTAGTGTCTGTGTAAGCCTCTTGTGGGAACAAACTTTATTTCTCTTCCTGCTCGCTGGAGTGACCTGTGCAACCTGCTGCCTGGATCCCCTCTTGACTCTTGAGATCAGTGATGTCAGGGGAGATGGGTGTTTTTCACCATCAGCTGCTCCAGGAGCTCACCCAAAAGACCAGACTCTCACCTTCCTGGACGTCCTGTTGTTTGGGGAAGAAGGCAGAAGTAAGAGCTTCCTCTGAAGTTTTGCAGCTGCTTTTTCTCTGGCCCTAATGGAGAAGCTTGGTCCAGTAGGATGCCATTGCTCTCGAGACAATGAAATGACCAGCAGTGGGCACAGAGCTTTTGTGTGTGAAGAGGCACAGTCAAGGCCTTCTGCCATCAGATGGTACCACATCTCTGCTGTCACCGAATGAAATTTTAGCAGCCTAGACCTTGCGCAAAAGAGTGACTGTCATCTGTAAAGTCTCATGACCCTCAGTTCCTACCACTAGTGGTGAGCTGATGTGGGGTGAGCAATTCCAGTCTGGGTGTAGTTATGATCAAGGTTTCCAAGGCTATCTTCCAAACCTTTTACCTCCATGTAGTGGGAGTTATCAACAAGATAACCTGGGCCTTTGCCCTCTGTGGATCCCCAGGCAGTGTGAGCAGTATTGATTCCAGCCTGGCCCTGGTGTCTGGCCCAGGCCCGCCAGTAAGTAAACAGTGGGAGCAGCCCTTTGGCAGTCCTGCCAGCTTTGGACCATGGAAGGGTATTTACGGGCCATGGCCTCATATCTTGCCTTACTGAGGTGGAACGTGCTGCCTGGTTCTGCCTGCACAAAAGGCGAGACATGAATATTTCCAGTGCCCTCTGAATCACAGGTGGCTGCTGTGGACACTGAGGATGTGGGTAAACCTTTTCTGAGACTGTAATTTTAGCTTCCTACATCTGCTTCAAAAAGTTGGAGCACCCAGCATGACACTCATCTTAGGACACTTATCACAGAAGAAGACCACTGTGATCAGTGGCTGGGAGCAGACAGAGTGGAATGGGGGAACGAAACTATGTGCCGTGACTTATTAGTGTGTGAACATGTCTGTGCTGAATAAAAAGCAAGAGATTCCCAATGCTACTCTGGATCTGCTTAACCTGCCCTCCTCATTTGCATGCCTATGCAAGCACACGTGTGCGCACTCTGTTCCTGGTGGTGCTCAAATCAATCATCCCTTTTTGTCCCTTTTGATTAGTCTTGACAGCATTTTTTCTGGACCTCCAACCCTTTGGGACTTCCTTGTGTCCAGGTTTGTGCCTGTCACTGCTGTCACGTTCCTTTGAGAAAACCTCATCTGACAGAATGATTTGCCATTCAGAGGAAGGGGTGTGGGCTTGAGGGGCAGTGTCTCTTTGCTTTGCTGGGGTGGGGAAGGGTAATCAAGTTTAGCAAGATCTGTATTAGCTGCTGCCACCTCAAGGGTTGGTGAGGGAAGACAGTGGTACCTAGAGTTTTTAGGATGAGGATAGTCAAGGAATATAACAAACCATACAGGTGTCCCATATCCCAAGTGCGCCTTTGGGGGATTAGGCCAGGATTATTTTTACTAACATTAACTAGAAGGGCAGAGACCTCTTCTAGAGTTGTGATAACAGAAGAAGTCTTGTCAGTCATCACTATATGGAGCCTGTTGTTATGCTGTGTCTTCTTGGCCCAACTTAAATACTTAGGTAGAAGCTCTGTGGATTGTGGGGGGGATGTGTCAGCTGTCAGTGGGGCTGACAGCCTTCCCTTTGCCCTTGCACTGCTGTACCTGCTGGTGTCTGTGATTATGAGGTGGGGACTCTGGATGGAGATGAAGGACTTTGCAGGAGCTGCCACCTCGCCAGGCTCTCTGCCCATCTGGTGTTGAGCTGAACCAAAACCCTTTGTGGGGCCTGCTGTAAGTCCCTGTGCCAGCCCAGGGTCTCCCTCCTCTCTTCTCTCCTTCTCCCCTCTTAAGTACCCCCTCAGACCAGAGGTGCTACAGTGGGTTGGCCTGCTACTGCATACATTGCCCCCTGTCTGCAGAAACTTCGGGATAAGATGCCTGGGGTTGGTGAATAGGGGCTGTCTTTGCCTCTAAGACCTCCTCTACATCAGAGGACCTTATGGAGGAGAGAAAAACAAACTGTTTTGTCCTTGCTGTACGGATATAATGCAGGGCTCTGACTAGTTTCCCCAGGTTTGTAAAGACAAATTTCTGCAGCTTAGTGGGAGCAGCAGAAGGAGATGGAAGGCACTATAAACTGATAGACCCATTTTTGCTCCTCCTGTAAGGGACACATGAAGTTGACCTCTGAATAGCATATCCTACCATGCATGGTAGTTACCTCTTTGCTATGGCCAGTGCCGTAGTGCAAGAATCTGTCCTGTGACCTGCTCAAATTTGCAGCAGGGGAAGGCAGAGAAGCATGGGGGAAGCAGGGGGGAGGGGAGAGGCAGAGAGCGAAAAGGAGGGAAAAGGGCTCCTCCAAAAATTTTGATCCCTTGGAGTTTGTTTTTTGGTTTGGGTTTTTTTTTTGGCTGGTCTGTGCTGAAGGGAGAGCTAATTGGGAATATCTGGTGGCCTTTGAGGGCATCCCATCAGTAACTGTCGTGAATCTGCTCTATGCCACACAACAGCCCACCTGGATCAAGGTGTGACCTAGGCCTGTGTGCTTCTGGGGTTGTGCCACTACGCTGGGGAAGGAGGGGGCCATGGTCAGGGCCTTTGCGGGCTGTGTTAGCAGAATATGCTGTGTGCAGGTGTGCTTGGTCAGCAGGATTGAGAGAGGCTCTTGTACAGGGCAAGGAGTGGAGAGATGCTTTCTAGTTTAGCTGCTTGCCATGAAGCAACAGCAATCTCCTGCCCTTGTGGAATTGCTTTTAAAGGCATGACAGCCTTCCCAGTCAGACTGCTGATGTTTGTCTGGCGCTCTGGAGGCCCAAGATCAGCGCTCGGTAATTCAGCTTGAAGACTCATGTGCACACATCCTTCTTTCCTAGCACCAAGTATAGACAAGCAATGCACTTACCTGGGTTGGAATCAGAGGTGTTAATACAGAAGGTTGCTGGTGTTGGCCGTGGGGGAGAATGGACAAAGGGAAGTGTCCATTCCCTGAACATCGATGTTCCCTCATAGGAGTTACCTGCAAGGTCTGGGAATGGGAAGCATAGAGGCTGTGCTGTCTTACAGTATTTCCTGTGTGATGACCCTGGCCCCAGCACATGCACATCCTGTGGTAGGGGGTAGGGTTGATGATGTGCTCAAAGATCTGTTTGAAGATGTCTGTAGCAAGGGTATGCCTGCCATATTGCCCTCATGTTCTGTGGCCTTTAAGAAGGTAACCTTCATCCCCTTGATCTTTGTGACACCCATCACCAGTTCTCTTGCAGTTGCAAGTCAGCAGTCTTGCTCCTTGGTTGGTTAGCCTCCTCTTGCCACTGGAGAAGCCTCGTCCCCGTTTCAGCATTGCTTGATGAGCGGTGTTGTTTCCACGCAGCTCCAGGTGCCACCGTGCTGGGTCTTCTGTGAGCCTGAAGGAGGTTGATTTTGCCATAGGAAAGAAGTGGTGGCATTCAGCAATGGTGAGGAAGGCAACAGAAGGCAGGGCAGGTATTGAGGAAAGAGAAATGGCACTGAGGCAAGAGAGGCCTCAATAGAAGGCAAAGTGGATCACAAAGAATTGAGAGCTGGTGGTTAACATCAAATACAAAAATACGTTACTTACAGAAGTGCAAAGGGTGCTACTTAACCCTTTGTTTAGCATGAGGTATTCCAGGTATTGCATAAATTTGTGACAGTTGAAGAGTCTCCTACTGCTTGGGATGTGCTGGAGAGCTTTGCAGATGTGCAGCCTGCCCATTGCTTTGGATGCTTGTGACGCCGTAGGTGGATCTTCTGATTTGGTTTCATCCAAAGGGAATCTGGCTTGTGCACACCAAAATCATTCTGTGGTCCAAGTCGCAGAAGCAATAGGACATTCCCTTCAAAAGCAGACTGGTGCTGTGGATTAATGTGCTATTTTAGATCAATTGAGTCTGCGGCTTCCCTGGTGTCTTTGATGCTGGCTATGGCTAGTAAGTACTCAGTGGTGCTCTTGCTGGACTTCCCTTGTTGCTTTTTCCAGCTTCTCATAGTAGGGGCAGGTGCTGGAGGTTGTGCTGGAGTCTTAATTACTCTGAAAGAAGCTATTTTTGTAGCTTGTGTGCTCTTGATTGCAGCATGGCTGTCCTGGGAGTGACCTCCCAAGTTGTTTGTTTGGATGTGTCCTTGTAGTCTTGTGTTCACGTCCCATGGTAAGGAACCAGCTCTTATCTGCAGGATGTCTGCATGGGTCTGGTCAGAGAAGCACATCAGACAGCTCTAGTGCTGAGAAGGGTATGTGAGTGACTCTGTAATTATGAATGGGTTATACCTAGCTGCATATTTGCCTTTCAGTGCACAGGTTCTATGTGGTTCTATGTGGTGTACCCGAGTACTAACAAAAGCCACAAAACAGCTTAATTTGGGCATTAAATAATATAGTAGAAGGGAAGACTGTCAGAGGCAAAATCCAGTTCATTCACAATGCATGTTTCTGGACAAACTTTTGACACGCTTATTCTGGAATTTAATCCATTTTGAAAAAGGGATTATCCAATTCACAAAAGGTAGACAAATTGTCTAAAAAAAATTGTCATGTGAGCTTAATGGCTTTTAATCCAGGAAATAAGAATAAATTGGATATGCTGTTCCTTCTCCACAGATGTACCTATCTTAAGCAAACCCTAACTTTGTTTCTGTTACAGTATGTGATTTTTGTTTTGTTTTTAATAACCAGAGAGGGTATACAGTATTTGGTTTCTGTCTTTCAAAGGTTTTGGATGTTTCTGTTGCCTTGCTTTGGGGTACTTTACAATGATAAACTATTTTTCGATAGCAGGGGAGGTGCTGGCAACAGTGAGAGAATTTCCATTTTTTGTGAGTTTTACGTGGCTAAGAGGAGAGGATTCTTGAATTCAAGCTAGCTATTTCCTTGTCTTTAGTTTTTTACAGAAGACTGAACTGAAACCACAGCTGGATGGGAAACATTTTAATCAGAAGGGAAAAAAAAAATAGTTCAAAACTGGATAGGAGGGTTAGGTGGGTTTGCTCAGTTAAAAGCCTTCAGAGCGGCTTGTTTTAAAATTGCGTAAAATGAACCTGAAGTCTCGCTGCCTTCCATAGTGCAATAGTGATGCAGTGCAAGGTCTTCTAAGACAAATATACAAGGGTCAGTCTGAGATTAAGGTAATTGAGGCACATATATTTTTAACTTGGAAAGGCCTGTATTTTTTTTGAAAAGCCATACTTTTACCTTGTGGCAAGTTGCAGACTCAGGTGATTTGCACTGTATGAAAGTAGTAATAACCTGCCACTGACCAAACTTACTCATTTGATATCAGTGTGTGTGCCGAGATGTTTCTGGTATAGTTTCGTACTCTGGGGTCCCTCACCTGCCTGTTGTTTACCCTGGGATCGGAGAGCTGTCAATGTGTAGGTAATGCTGGTTAGAAAAATACTTGGAGGGTATGGCTGAGTGATGAGACATATCTGTCTTCTAGGTAGGGAGTATCTGGAAGGAAGACAGAGTCCTCCAGGTCAGAGGAGAGAGGAGTTTCAAGTTTATATAGAGGTAAGTATTTTACCAGTATCTTCCCATCTGCCCCCCTGCCCTTTTGCTATTTTCATGAGTACATTAAGAGATCTAGCATAACTCAAAAATCTAAAATAACTGTGGGTAGGTAACAGGTATCTTTCTAGAGCAGGAAATTAAAATATTGTTAGCTTCAAAATACAAGTTACCTTCCAGTTTTTGTGGATGTAAGACCCTCTCTTAAATTACTTTATTTTCTTTTTCTCTTTTAATGAAAGTTTACTACAACTAGGAGAAGCTTCCTTGACACAATTGTGCTTTTCCTGTCTATCTGAAGTACCTCTTCCCGTACAAATAACCCACACCTTTGATAACCTGTATCCTGCCCTTGAAAAGAAATCTTCCAGTAATTTGCATAAGGTCAAAGGCACGAGGCTGTTGGGGTAGTATAAACATGTTGGAGGTAACAGGGCAGGGGTCTTTGGGGCAAGAAGGTAACAGCTATAAGGAAACAGAATAAGGAAGAGATAAGTAGTCTTTTATTGCCTGAATATTGATACGACCTGAGCTGCTGCTGTTGCTGCTGACCTGAGGTTTTGTTGAAATATGGTGTGTCCTGGAGTTGGGGGTGGTGGGTTTGTTTTGTTTTTAACAGCTAACCCACAAGGTGTCTTTGAGGTTTTTTTGGGATTAGACAATTAGAAATACTTCAAGGTGGAAGTTCTTAAGCATGAGGCTCAAGTGTTGCATCTAAGCAGAATGACAAAAAGATTATGCTCAAGAGTTTGCTTTCTGGGTTGGTTTATTTGTTTGTTGGTTGGTGGTGGGTTTTTTTTAAGCATCTCTTTGAAACCAGTGAAACATTATTCTGTGTACACTCCTAACCCTTAAACTTGTATGGTTGAATGGGTGGCGGGATGTACTTGTTGCAGTGCTCATGTAGGTAAGATTCATAAAGCAGACTTTCCAGTAGAATATATTTTCTGGTAATGCTTCATCAGAGATCATGGGTTTTTTTAGATAGATATAAAGGAATAAATATAGAACAACTCAGGTGCTAAAAATATCCACTTGCATTGACGTCTACTTTTTTTTTTTTTTCTTTAAAAGAGACCTTTTGGATATTTAGCAAGATGCTTCATATCTGCTCAGAATCATTTTGGCTGCAGTGATTTTGAGGGAGAGACAAGTCAGCTGATCTTAGAAAATAGCTTATCTTGGTTTGATTTAAGAGTGCGATGTGGGAATAGAGCAGATGCAGAGGAAGAGACAATGTAGGTAATGGCATGAGAAGCTGGTTTAATTACTGCAGCTGTAGAAGCTGGGCATTTGCAATCTTGGAGATTAGAAGACTGCTCAGCTCTTGTGTTTATGGGGGGGAAAAAAAAGATACTAAATACCTCAATCAAACCCTAAGATATATATATAATGGATCTCACTGAAAAGATGGTCCCTTGATAGGAAAGCTGCTTGCACTGGACGGCTTCAGTTACAGTCCAGGATATAGTAACTGTGGCATCCTTTTAAGTGTGAGATGAGGGAATTAATAATTTTCCAAAAGATCTCTAATCTTAGAAGCTGAGATTTTCATAGCGGGAGAATGATTTACTTGAAATGGATTTTGAAGTAATTCTTAATTTGCAGATGATCTGCTGCGGACACGATTCCTTGTGCATAGTTAGCCACTCATTATGTTCTGAGTAGTCCTTTGAGATCTGTGTTGCAAGAATGAACTGGTGAATCAGTTAACGTGTTTAAATCAGTTTAAGATTCAACTATTACTTCAGTTCCCTGTCATGTAGAACTTCAAAATTTAATAATTTGGTGCCACACTCCTTTATTTACAAACTACGCACACATTTTGGTACCTAGAAACATTGAGATCAGCCCAAGCAAGCGTGTGCTACCCACAGTCTGGTGCTGCCAGAAATGGATTGTGTGATGCATGGGGAGGAAGGGGTCAGGGCTTTTTGGCATCTCACAGGTTGTACAGCACTGGGCAGCCGCTGGCCTACAGCAGGTGAAGCAGACCATTCCTGCAGCCCACCAGGCGTTTCAGAGTCGTGACCGCATGCCCCCTTCCAGCTGTAGCCTCCTGTTCTCCACCGATGAGCTGGGAGCACATTGCGTTGCCTTCCCGGTGGCGTTGCTGCGGCTGCTTCTCCCTTTGAACTTAATAACAGGTCAGATCTGAATTGCAGCTTAGACATAAAAATAGCTGGCACCTGCTTCAGTCACGCTGGCCAGGGGTGAGCTGGGGCCCTGCTGCCACCCATGCCAGCCCCAGGGCTGGCATGAGCAAGAGCGGTCTGGTGAGGTTTTCTCTGCCTGTTACAGGTGGAGCAGCCCCAGCCGCGGGGAGGAGCATGGACAACCCCTTGGCAGGGTTATTGGCTGGACTCCTGCAAGATTAATAAAATACCCATGCTGTGTCACCCTTTGATCACGAGTATTTTCTGTCTCCTCAGCAGCGTGGTCTTCTATTTGACTTGGGTTTTTTCCTCTGCTTTTAACCTCTAATGTAGCAATTTACTCTCTTGCTGTGTTTGACCAAGACCAAGCTAGGACAATGTAAAGATGATGCATCCTCTTAGGAATTACATTATTATTTTAGGTTACAATTATCTCAAGCTTCATCAGGCTTCTGAGAATCTATTATTTATGTATATTTCTGATTAATTAGAAATGCTGTTAAGATGGTATTAAAAAACTTTCCTTGTGTAAACAAGGGAAAAAAGACATTAGTTCAAAGGTCCAGTGCACAGGTTCTCCGGAGAAGATAAGCTAGGCCTTCTCTGCCTCGGCAGTCAGCTCTGAAGAATTTTTATTTATTTATTTATTTTTATTATCTCATTGTTGGCCACTGTTGCTTGGAAAGGAGTGTGTGGAACATCTATAATTTTTTTGAGATCCTGAAGAGCTGATGCATCCCAAATTATCACCTCGTTCACTGCAAAATGGCTTCACCCATAACAAGATTATTTTTTTTTCCCCTCAGGATGTAGGTGTATTTATCTGTTCTTTCCTTGTTTATGCTACTGAATGAGATATGCTAGTTTCACCATTGCCTGTTCAGATCTTAGCTGCAGCAGTTCAGAATTTTAAAGCTTTCTTTAAAAGGCTTTTACTTTCTTAATGCAGAATGCTAAGGGCTTTAGGCAGGGAGCCCTAAACTTTTAATTAGTTCAAGTGCTTTATAATAGACTTTATTTCTAAAATGCTATTCACATTCATTAAAGTTCTTAACTAGATTGCCGTTCTAGATCCTTTTAATTTCACTTGTATTTGAATTATGAATAGTGAATAAACAGAAATACGCATAGTTAGTTTAGTCTAACCAGGGGGAGTAAAATAACTACTGAGGAGGATCCCTCAGCTGCAAGTAACTGCCATGCAGGTTTGTGCCCAGTGCTAGGATGTGGCTGTCTCCTGGGGTTTGCTGGTGCTAGCACTGATAGCCATAGGCGCTTTGCAAACAACTTGGAAGCTTGAAGGATCTCCAGCGTTAAGGCAGAGGTGGACAACAGCGAGGCAGATGAGGGACAGTGCCGGAGAATATTTTTAGCCAAGCCTGCTTGACTCATGACCCTGGTGGCAGTCTCTTGCTAAAAGGGACTTAATGTGGACAGGGAAGGGGTGTGTATGGGTGAGCTCAAGGAAATGACGTGAGTTTGGCATGCTGGGCACACACAGGTTGCTGGGAGTTTTAATCCTGATGTGACCAACGCTTCATATACATGTTTTTGGTTTGGAACCTTACAAATTCAAGGCCTGTAAAGGAAAGATATTTCTGCTAAAGACTTGCTGCAATTCTCAAATCCCATGAGGTAACTCCTTCCTATTAACTTTATCTGTGAATTCATAAGAAAATGATTAATTTGGAGTACCTGGAAAGTCTGCTTGTGGAAGATCAGAGCATGAGAATTAATGATCGATTGCTTCTCATTAGTGGGTGAAGAATTGTGTTTTGAGGTT